TTTCTAGTTAGACAGTGCTGGGAGAGTCCCTTGACTTCATCATAGCTCATTGTCACTGCCCTGATCCCTCCTACACTCCTCCTGCCACCCTGGTGAAGGGCCCTCTCTCCTTTTGAATGGTCTTGATGATCTCAAGTCTTGATGATCTCTGATTTCTGTGGGCCCTGGAAAAACTTTGAGCTTCCAGCACCACAACAGCCCACCAGCATGAGGAAACAGTGGGGAAGTGAGGACAGATGCTGTGTGCTATTTTGCTCAGTGCACGAGCCCCGAGCGCTTCCTTACACCTCCCTCCATGCTGCCCTGGCATCCAAAGGGCATATGGAAAAGGCTCTCGACTCTGCCTTGTTTATCTGGGCCTCCTGGGTCTCCTTTTTACGGAGAGGATGAACAGGTTGGAGCAGACTGGGGCTTGGAAATGCCCCAAGCTGGGGACCCTATTCTCCCATAGCACGCCCAGGGTCAGTGAGTGCTCTGCGCTGCCCAGGATTTTGACCATTTCTCCCACCTGATCTCCAGACAGCTCCCCTGGATTGGAAGCAGCTTGCTTCTATGCTGCGCTGGGCTGTCTCCTACAGCAGTGGGTTTCAGTGGAGATAGTTGAGGCTTTTTTTCTTAAAAAAATATTTACAGTCCTTGAGCAGATTCCATCCCTGCTGTAAACCCAGATGCACCAGGGAGTGCTTTGGCCCAAGAAGCCAGGATCCTAAATAGTTATCACCATCCTGGAGCACACTGCCTTGTTGTCATAGGCTTGCCCCACAGGGCTTGGGAACCTGCTCTGAGTACTGGCTGGTTACTGGAGAGTTGCTTCCGGGCCAGGCTGTAGCCATTGGTTTCTGGTGTTTCATCTCTGGAAATAGGGGAGCACTGGAAGGTTTGTTTAGCCAAAAATCCTCTGTACCTGGGACTCTGCTCCCTGCCTGGGGTTGGTTATGCTGCTGTCCGTGCACTGATGTGGGGTCAGCTAGGAGCAAATTGCTTCCAAGGCTTGTGTGCGTCCTGGCTCTTACCCCGTGGTCTGGGTCGCAGTGTGAGCACCCTTTGCCAGCTCTGTCGCACTTCACCCCTTAGCATGGTCTGGAAGGCATACTGTTGCCTCTCCTGTAATTTGAGTGCGGCATCTGTATGACCTCATCTCTCCTTACAGGGAACAATAGCTCGGCACTTTGTGATGCTGTGCTGGCTGGGATACGCAACCTGTTCTTCCAGCACACCTTTCATACCATACCTGCCTCTGGGGTGCATGCCTACAGCCATCCCTCCTTAACCGCTGGGATGCAGGCCATGGCCTGCAGAGCTGGGTGTTGGGAAGCCCAGGTCTGACTCCCAGGAGGGGCATGGTGCTTGAGCCCTCCATGCAGGAGGCCCTGAGACTGGAACAGCGAGTTGTGTTGCAAGCTAGCCACTGGCAGAGCTCCATGTGCGATCTCAGGATTGACTAGCTGAGCCAGCTGCAGGCTGGGATTGAGGAGCACATGCTGAGCTGGGGCTGGGCAGCACCAGGACTGGCATAGCAGAGTGGGGGCTGCAGGTCCACACTGCAAAGCATCCGAAGAGGAAGCCCAGGACTGGAATAGCAGAGTGGGGTGCAGGTACAGGATAGTAGCACTGGCAAGGCTCAGCATGGGGAGTGCCAGGCCTGCAAGCCAGGACTGAGGGGTCTTGGCAGAGCCGTGCATGCATGGGATAGAGCACCTGTCCTTGCTGTGCCTAGCTGTAGCCAGGGCTCTTTACCCCTCACTCCCAAGAGCTCCTTTTCCTCCCATAATTCAGACCTCAAGCAAAGGGCCAGCTCAGAGTTGGATCTAGACCTGTCTCCCCTCCCAGATCTCTAACACAGTTTCACTCTGACTTGCAACTGCTTTACAAAAGCCACATCTGGCTCCAGCAGGCTGGGGTGTGTGCCCCTCCGGGGCTAGTGCAAGGAAACAGCACTGTGATATGGGTGCCGGCTTGCAGACACCTGGGAAATGGGCTTTTACTCTAACACACTTCTTCCAGGCGACCAGTTGTCCCTTCAGCCCTCCCAGGTTCAATTTCCAAGCACCGATCTTGGGCCTGTGAGACTCTGGGAGCAGGTGTGTGAATGCTGATGCCTCCTGTTTGCAGAGACCCATTAGTGAGCTGGAAAAAAAAGCCTCCCCCAGACAGGGGGGGCATGAAAGCCAGTTCAGTGAGGGACAGAGGAGGCTGTGCCCCATGCTGGAAGCTGCTTTTCCAGCTGAGAACACAAAGGTGCTTTATTTATTGCAGTGCTATAAATATCCCCTAGCGAGGTGTGCTGGGAGAAAGGGATAAATGACCATTGTTGCAGAAGGGAAGAGAAGCCAACTGGCAGCTGCCCCTGGTTCCTTAACCCTTTCCCTGTCCGGGCCAAGTGCCCCGATGCCTGGATACAACCCTTGCAGCAGGATGTTTTGTTGCGGTGCATGATGACACAGGTTTGCCCATCACCGTGGGCATCACGGGAGGCTGCCAAGGATTGCACAGGGCTAAGGTTGGCCCGAAGCTACCAGTGGCTGTGCACAATTTGTATCCAGCCTACTTGGGATCGGTGACTCTGAGGGCGCTGTGTCGTTTGCACTGACGGTCGAGTCCGTAGTGCACCGACTTGGGATTCAGGAGACTCTCCGTTACCTCTCAGCACTGCTGGGTCTATGACCAGACTTGAGCCATTCTGCTTCCATCCAGGAGAGAGCAGTGCCACATGCTGTTGCAGATCCTTGCAACCTGTGTGTGCACTTTTAGGCTGGGGGGAAGGGGAAAGAGGGAGTGAGGGGGGCCACGAGCCAGGGAAATAGCTGGACACACTTCTGAGCCCTTGTTGCTGTCTTTGCTTTTTGGCCCTGTACAGACTACAGAGTCTATGCTGCCGGTGGCATGGGCCTGGACCTGCGGCCTCACAACTACATGCAGCACTACGACATGCTGAAGGACATCTGGGTGTCGCTGGCAGCCATGCCCACACCCCGCTACGCCGCTGCCTCCTTCCTGCGTGGCACCAAGATTTACGTGCTTGGTAAGGACAGACCCAAGCCATTCCCCATTGCTCTCCCATGGGGGATCAGCCAGGCAGTCACTCCTCTGAGCCCTGGGCCCAGGGTGAATGCTGAGGGAGGGGTCATTCGCAAAAGGAGACGTTGTGGAAGCTGCGTCCCTCCCCTCCACACACTGCTGTCCATGAGCACCCTGTGTTTAGCTGCCGGATATGCAGCTGTGGAAGTTTGCATATCCTGAAGGATAAAACCAAGGCCTGCACAGAGCATCCAAGCACCACATCAATCCAAGGTAGAGGCACAGGCCATGGTCAGGCTGGCTGCAGGGGGGAGTTTCACCATTGCCTGCCCTACTTAGCAGCAAGTCTGGAAGTGTGTGATGGTTGCCAGGTTTCCAGCTCCAGTTTTAGACCACAGACTCCCATACAAGCCTCTGGCCTTTAATAACAGCAGCAATACAGCTGCTTAGCTTCTGAGAAGGAGAGTCGATGTCTCGAAAGCACAGCACAAGTATTAAGGGCCCATTCCATAATGATGAGAGCCCCATTGACGTCAGTGGAGGCAGGCCCTTCGTCCTAATTATCCTTTTGCAGGGAGTTGGCATCATTATCCTCGCCTTGTAGATGTGGAAATTGAGGCATCTGCAGAGTTGGAGCATCTGTCAGGAAGCTGGGATAGGAACCCAGGAGGGCTGATCATGCTCAAGCCACCAGGTAGTTTTGCCTCTCTAGGGAAGTTCCCAGTAAAGAACCTTTGATCCATTTGAAGTTCATCCGTTGCTCCTGCACAAACAGTTTGCATTGCCTTGGAGCAAGCCTGGGCTTCCAGTCTTCAAAGTGGCGCTGAGCTTCTGAACTGAAAAGAGCGTGATCATTTGCATTGGACTTATACAAGAATAACACGGTGCCGTTTTGTTACTATCCCAGCATCGTGTGCTGGGGCGTGTTACTGGCACCGAACCTCATCTGAGCTGCAGAGCTCCTGAGCCTGCAGTACCCACCCTGCTGCTATGGATGCAGCTTGATTACATTGCCACCCACTCAGTGCCTTCCAGGGCTAGCTAGTGCTGCTGTCACTGGAGAACAGGGTGAGTGGTTTAGAAAAAAGATGTGTTTCCATTGCTTGCGATTGCAGGAGAAACTGGAAAATGTCCAGTCCTGTGTGGTCTCAGGCTAAGCACTGTGAAATTCAGGGCTTCAGAGGGCACTGGCTAATTACAATCCATATTTCTGAAATGAATGCCCTTCACTGCAGGAGTCATAGGCCTTCAGATGGGCACAGTGGAGATCCTGCATCAAGAACCAGTGGTGTCATGACTTGTGTCGTTTGCAAGTCTGCTGCAAACAGCCACATGTCTGTGCTCCCTGGGTAACTTTTGCTTTGTACGGCCATAGTAAGCATTTTGGGGCAGGGAGTCTGGTTTTGTTCAGTGCCGTACGGCTCCAGGCACAGACAGGTTCTGGTCCATGAATGAGGCTTGCAGGCCTTACCATGGAGATGATGCTAATCATGCTCTTCTGCAAATCCCAGGCATTAGGTTTTGTGCATCCCCTCCCTGCCCTCCAGACCTGGGAATTAAACTACCCAGCAGTCTTCCCTCACCACATCCTCTTCCCACTTCCAGGCATCAGTGCTCTTCTCCCCCAGTCTGAGTAGATATTTCTATGTTTCAAGATACTGACCTTGTCCCGTGGGAAGCAGACACTGTTTATGAAGCATTTTCTTCAGTCCTATTTCCCAGTGATATGCAGGCTGCTCTGGGCCTATCAGTCCTGCTGACAAGGTACTTTAAGACAAACAGGTGACCAATGGGCAGGGCAGACAAAAGGAGAGGATGGGGACAATGGTAACCAGATGATGGGGTTGCACGGATCCAGATTACCTGAGACCCACCTAGCTCCTTTCAGCTGCCAGGTTACTCAGAGCTCACCCCAGAAAGTCACAAGAGCCATCTGGCTGATGAGAGCTTAACCACCCCTGCCCTGATGCATTTGTCCCCCTCTCTGTCCCAGGCGGACGGCAATCCAAGTATGCCATCAATGCCTTTGAGGTCTTCGACACCGAGACCAGATCATGGACCAAGTTCCCAAACATCCCCAGCAAAAGGGCCTTCTCCACTTTCGTGCCCACGGAAAGCAAGCTCTTCAGCCTCGGGGGCCTGCGGCAGGGCCGGCTGTACCGGCAGCCCAAGTTCATGAGGACCATGGATGTGTTTGACATCGAGCAAGGTACCCACCCACTGAGGGAGGATGTGCAGTACAGCGAGGGCATATGTCAGGCAGCTGGGTCTGTTCTTACGTGCCAGATGCTGAGGGCCGTAGCCCCTTCTCTACCTTTGCTGAGAGTCAAGGGGCTTCTGCACCCTGCAGGATTGCCTGCTGACCCCTTGAGCCCAGCCCTGACCCTAAGCTGGGCAGCAGGACCGCAGGTGGCGAGCCCACTGTCCAGGCAGCCTAACCTCTCTCCTGGGGCACTGCAGTGAGAGACCCTGACCACACAGGGGACAGGATACTCCAAGGGGAAGCTGCCTTGCCTGGAAAACCAGCTTTCTGAATTCCAGCTGGGCGGGTTGGGTTTGGCTGTGCCGCATCTGTTTCCAGAGGTAAGAGATGTATGCCGGGGTCCCAGAGCCAGTCTTTAAGGTGGTGGCATGCTGAGTGGCACATGTCTGTGTGTCCGTCCTCTCTCCCATCAGGTGGCTGGATGAAGATGGAGCGCTCCTTCTTCCTGAAGAAACGGCGAGCAGACTTTGTCTCTGGCTACTTGAAAGGCAGGGTCGTCGTGGCAGGGGGGTTAGGTGAGGAGCTGTCAACAGGGTAGGGGGGCATTTGCAGAAGTCTTTATGCGATGGAGGAGCCTAAGTCTCATTGTCACAAGTGACTTAGGCACTGTCCTTCAATGAGAACCAGGGATGGTTTTTAAAGCCACATTAACAACTCTGTGAACGTAAGGAAATTTTCCCATTAGGCATCTCAGTGCCTAGGTCATTTTTGAAAATACAACTCGGGCTCTTGGAAAATGTCACCTGAATGGATCAGACTTGCACAGGTGACTGCTGGTTTTGAAGTCCTGCTACTTTATTTTCTTGGCTGGCTCAAACCAGACTAAGAGCAACACCTGTCACTTTGGGCCACCCAGAAAAGTCCTTGGGCCCAGGCATATGTATGGGCCGCACAACCGTGGGCTGGCACAGTGACTCTCAAGCAGGGTGCCACCCTGGCATGTCACCAGATCCTTTGAAGGGTGCTGCAAGGTGAGGAGCTAAGCAGACAAGCTGAGTAAGTAAATTAAGTCTCGGGCTTGTCCTTGCTTGAAGCATCCTCCCTCTTCAAGGAGCTAGGTGCTGTAATATAAAAATGAGTTTTTGAAATGAGGTGCCTTGCCACTCACAAAGTGATGGAGGGTGCCTCAAGTCCAGTGAGGGGTGCCTCGAGTCCAAAAAGGTTGAGGACCGTGGGGCTAGAAGAACTGACTTTCTTATAGCAGGTGAAGGGGGGGAGAGGTGGGGCCAGGGCTTAAGGGGTGGGGTGGAGATTTATTCTTTTTCCCTGCTCAGATCAGACTTCTCCCCCAGTTATCATTATATGCTTATTTCATAATCAAGCATCTTCTGCTCCTTGGGCTCTCTCAGGGAACCAGCCGACTGTCCTGGAGTCAGCCGAAGCCTTCCACCCGGAGAAGAACAAATGGGAATGCCTCCCGCCCATGCCCACCCCTCGCTGCGCCTGCTCCAGCGTCATGGTGAAGAACTGCCTGCTGGCCGTCGGCGGCGTCAACCAGGGCTTGAGTGATGCTGTGGAGGCGCTGTGCGTGTCTGACTCCTAGCAGGCCTCTGCCCAAACCCCCCCACCCCAGCTGGAGGTCCTAGGAAGGCGGCAGGGGTGAGGACACCACCAGGTCCGCTCTGTAGAGTCCCTCGGCACTGGAGTTGTTTGCACTCGCTCCCCTGCTCTCTCCGGCTGCAGCTCTGCTGTCATGGTTTAGTCCAAGGAAAGGGGCCACCTTCTTCGCCTCCGGGATCTCATGCCTCTTGAGACCAGCGCTGCTCTGATGCTATTTGTTAGCAAAGGCTCCTGACTGCCCAGTAACCAGTCCTGCTATTCACAGCTCGATCACTCCTCTGGACAGCCTTGATCTCCACCCCTGCTCTGGGATCCCACAGACCTCGGTCCAGCCTTCAGCTGAAGCTGCTGGGAATGCACCAGCTCCTCTCCGCAGTAGTGGAAGCTGCCGAGCCTGGGTGGGACGCTTTGACATGGGGACCCCCCCACCACAACTTCCTGCAAGGGTCCGGAAAGCAACCCAGCTGAGAACAGCTTCCACCGGGGAAGGGACCTTGAGGTCAGGGCAGAGAGTGGTGTGTCCTCACACCCTCCTGTCCTCCCCTTCTGATCACAGCTCATAGCTGCAAAGTCACAGGAGAAGTGTGTGGATCCAGACAGGCCAGGGAAAGCTTCTGCTGTACAGGTGGAGCTGACCTGTTTCTGGTGGGGGACTGCAGCAGCTGGGGCTGAAGGCTTCAGGGCAGGCTGCAGAGGGAGAGACCTGCCTAACCATGCTGCCAAGTAGAAAAAGGACCCTCCTGGGCCAGCGGGCACCAGTCTGATGGCAGGACTGTCAGTGAACCCCTTCCCAATAAGCTGTAGACTTTGACTGTTGCTTCACAGGAGCCAGAAGCGCTCTCAGGGACAGGACATGGGGGCTCATGTTGGCACTGCTTTCCACGGGGGGTAGCTCTGCCTGTAGCAGCAGAAGCCCAGGTCTGCCTTCTCTCACTTTATTGCAGAGATGGGCTTTCGGTGCAACATGACAACCCAGCCCTGGACTCCAATCCCAGGTGATGCCCTGGGGCGTTTGGAGATGGGGTTTGGGTTTGTTGCATTGCAGAGATGAAGAACCTTTTGCAAACCCCAGGCTCGGGTCTTGCTTTGCATTTCTAGTGCCCTGCCAAGCCTGGACAACCGCCCTTGGCTCCTCTCACCCCGCTGCGTTGCAACGCACAACCAGAATGCCACCGCCGCCATCCTCTTTTTCTCTCTGTTTTATGGTTCCCCTCGTGGCTCGTGGCTGGTCATGTCCAAGTGCACTGCGATGGACAGTTGTGGCTCTCATGCATAGCGGCAGCCCGGGCCAAACCCACCTCCATAAAGTCTCTTGAATCAACACTCCCAGTGCTGAGCGATTCTTTCCACTCCTCCTACCTATGGTTGGGGATTTGCAGATCTGGGCCATGGACCTGAGGGAGGGGGAGAGCCAGCCTGGGGAGCACTCTCTGGTGCCAGCATGCATAGGGGCTGCCATGAGACACTGATTCGAGGAGAGCCCTGACACCACTCCAGCCCTGGCCTCTCGGGCGTCTGATGTGCATTTCATAATGAAGCCGTCGGCCTCAAAGCCAAGTTGTTTTTGATGGCTGTGTGACTGCCATGCTACAAGCCCATCCCACAGGTGAATTGCTCCCTTGCTGTCCTGTGGCCAGTTAGCAGGGCTTTGGAAGGGAAATGCATGTCCACAGGTCTCAGGGGAACGGCGCTGGTGCTTGGTTGTGTTTAAAGGTGGTGGGTGTGAGCACAGATTCACTCTCGGGCCTGTACTGCTGCACTGGTTTGCTCTAGCTGTGCCAGCGGGGCTCAGCCAGGGCTTTATAGGTGCCTGGAGAGCTGCTGGGAATACTCAGTGATGGGCTGGGATGAAGGGGCAAGCGGTAGGTGGACAAGGCTACCCAGGCATTCATGCCAACACCAGCTGGCCGTGGAGGGGTTATACCAGGCTTGTAAGGGGCCTGATGGAAGTAGTGATGGGTGAGCCCAAGATTCACTCCCCACATCGCTGCCGATGAAGCTCTTCCCTGGGCTGCCCCAACAGAGCAGCCAGCAATAGCACAGTAGGCCATGGTCATGGCTGACATGGCAGATGCTGGTTGAGATCCAAGAGCAACAGCCACCAAGGCCTTTTAGAGATGAGGGATCCCAGGGTAGGATTGTTCCCTGCTGTTGGGCTGGGCTTCTGTGCCCCGTGCTGCACAGTCAGTGCTGCAGACCTATCTGCCATGGCTTTTGTACTGCCAGCAGCTAGTGGGGGGTTTCAGAAGGAGGCTTCAGAACTGAAAGCCCTTTACCCTCCCCTGCATATGTTGACCCTATTTTACAGGGCCAGCCAGGCACATGGTCTTGCCAGGCTGGGCAGCCCTGTTGCCACTGCACATATTTCTGGCCTCACCTAAGCAGGCTGTGCCACTTGTCGTGGGTCTCTCCAAAGTGCATGTCCAAGGCTTCCCAGCCTGGGGGGTCACCTACAACCTAGCAAAGGGTCTTCCAGCAACCTGGGATTGAAGACACACTGCTGTCATACTGAAATGCTCTACTGGGCCATGCATCTTCAAACCAGCCTGTGTCCGCATTAGCAGGTGAGGCTACAGACCTGTCACAGAACAGACCAGGAGTGTCACCACTGTGCCTGGCAGTGCTTTCCGCTGGGGAGAACCAGCCTCAGCGCAGATCGGGCATCTTCAAGGAGTGAATGTGCACAGACGATGGAGGCCCCTCCGACAACCTGCTGCAGGTGCATTGGATGTGAAGTGATGCTGATGTGACTCTGGTGCCTGGCACAGCAAAACAACCCCTGGAGTCTCCCCGGACAGGCTGCAGTACATTCCCAGTCTCTTTCCAGATGTCAGCATGGAGCAGACTAAAGGATATCACGGCACTGGGGAAATCTGGGCCAGGGAGAAGGGTCATTCAGGGGACTCAGACAAGTCCAGGGTGCATGGATGGTGTTGAGCCAGTGCGGTGACAACACGTGCTCTGGGCCAGGGTGTTGTGTAGGAGCAGGTGTGGGTTGCTGTCCAGGATTGTCATCCCGGAGGCTGAGATGCCCCTTGGAGCTGGGGGTGACTCGGGGATGGGGGTGTCTAGCAAGGGCCCTGCTCCCCAGGGCTGCTTTCCCAGTGCTGGACTGCAAAGGAGCGGGGTTGCCTTTTGGGGCCGTTCCTGTGCAACTCTGAGGACACCTAGCGGCTTTTTAGGGCAGCAGCCAATGCGGGGAGCCCAGTCTGGTCATTTTGCACCTAGAAGAGACCAGAGCGAGAGAAGGGTCCTGCAGACATACTGTCCAGGCTGCTCTCCGAGGACCCTGTTACATTGGAGCTGCACAGGGAAAGGCAAGGAAAGGGCTGTGTGTAGGGTAGACTTAATCTTTGTAGGGTAATCTCTGGCTGCATCACCATGAGATAGTCTAATAACACTGTGCAGTAGCGCGGTGGGCAAAAACCGTGCTAATAGTTTACTGCGCAGTGTTACTAGGCTAACAAAATAGCCGTGTTCCAGCACGACTGTGCAGTAACTCTAGTTATTGCGCATTTAGTTAGTACTTCATAAGGAAGTACTAAAATGTGCAGTAATTAAGATGCATTAATGAACATGCAGATACACCCGCTGTGTCCTATGGGGTGGGGATACTGCTGTGAGGATTAATACACTGAAGCAGGTGGGGTGCTCACCTCCTGTGTGGTGGGGCTGAATAGCTCCCTTGGAGAAGGCCTCCATTTGTAGCACCAGCCTGGTGCTTTCATGCACGGAGACAGAGAAGGACTGTAGCTGCCTCATGATGCAGCCACCCTTCGTCCATGCCAGAAACAGCTGGGAACTGGCACTGTCCCTGCTTGCAGGGCGGGTATCATCACTGGCACCCGCAGGCCATCCGCACATCACTTATACCCTCCAGGAGGCAGCATCTCTCCTGGGATGACTCGGCTTTCAGTGCCCCTGGGGTGACTCAGCAGCTACGCTGCCCCTCGTGACACCTTTTTTGGAGATCGGTGAGTGCAGGTGCTGGTCTCGGGCATGCTGTGTGTGTAATGGATTTGCCATGTTAAGTCCTAGCGCGGTGCCTGCATGGGGTAGCAGACTCGCCTGATTCCCACCCTTGTGGGACCACCGAGGATGATGGTCAAGGCTGCAAAGGCCAGGTAGCTCATGGCGGTTCCTTTCTACAGCTGGGGAGAGGGAAAGCAGCAGAGCTCAGGGCTCCAGTCCCCCTCTGGCACCTCATCGCAGCCCACAGAGATCCCCCAGAACCAGCATCCTGGGAATCTACACCCAGCTCCAGATGCCTGCCTCAGCCCCTAGATCCGGTGCTCCTGAAGGCCGGAGCACTTGTGATGCTGATCTGCAGGCTGCGCCTGGAGCCATCTGTCCTCTCCCTGTAAAGCTGTTTCAGAGCCAGAGGGTAGAAAATCATCCCCATCTGTTTGCATTTGCCCTGGAGCAGGGAAATCAGTGGCCCCATTTGAAGTGCAATCCCTCCTGTCAGCTGTAAGTCACGCTCCCCTCTGATCTGGAACTGCCACCTACCACAGATGAAAGGGGGAAGCCATTTGCTAACAACCCCCCAAGCTAATTATTTACATCCCACCTGCTTGTCCTTGGCTAAGAACAACCCACGCAGTCTGTCCTGTCTGCTCACATCCTCCCACCTGCGGTCCCAGTGCTCGAGTCATTTCCATCGCGTGGCTGCGGAAGGAGGAGCCCAAAGCTGCTAGCGAGGACACCAGCTCTAGGCAGGCCTCAAGGAGGCATTTGAGGCTAGTGTGAGTGTGCAAGAGTGTGAGTTCAGACTGTTCATGGGCCCAACCTGGTGAGGTGCTGAGCACGTCTGATGGCTGTAGTGAGCACTCAGCACCCACGGACACAAAGGGAAGAGCCCCTCCTGGGGGAAAGGTATGTAAATCTACATGAATAATGGCACCAAGGACAGAGATAGGGTCACATCTGAGCTGGAGGGCAGCAGCCCCCAGCAACACTGCGCATCACAGCAAGGGATGAAGAAGGCTAAATCCCGGTGAAGCTACAGGCAGGATTTGGGTTGGCCGATTGCCGCTCTGAAGTGGGGAAGGATCCTGGTGGTTGGGATACCGGTGCTTAAAACACCAAGGCTACAAGAGCAGTTCAGACCCCACAGCAGCAACGCAGCCCCTCTGGGAGCCCTGCTGGGTAGAAAAGAGGAGTGGGACCCTTCCCCGTCCTGGGCAGCCACAGCCTGTCTCAGCATGTGGAAACGAATGAGCCCACCAGCCGGGCTGGAGCCCTGCTCACAAACACCCTGGAAGGGAAAGGGCAGGAAATCCCAACACCTAATTCAGGCCAAGGGGAGCGATCAAGAAACAGGGAGGAAGAAGAGACAGGGGTGTTTGGGAAGCAGCATGGCACTGGGGGCTAGCATGGGGCATCATTTGCTAAGCGGTGCATGAACTTTTTGCTCCACCTGGGAAGCTCCGCAGAGCCCCCTGCTCACATCCTCACTGTCCTTTACAATGGGGGATGCTGCTGCTTGAGAGAGCCAGGATGGATGGGATGCTGAGCAGTCCATGCCTCAGTTTCCCTGGGGAAAAATGCTCCTTCCTCCCCTCTGTAAAGCACTGGGGACCCACAGGAGATGGCCTGGTGCTCCCCCACTGCTCTGACCTCCCCTCCTAGCAGCAAAGCTGTCTGCTAGCAGGGGCTCTGGGGTGCAGTTTTGCTCTGCTAGCTCCAGGGAATTGCACCCATGCCCCTTTCCCTGGGAAATGTAAGGACAGCTGCAGGTCCGATCATAGTCTTGCTTCTACTGGCATCAGTTAGGAGCAGCCCCACAGCACGTGGGACAGCAGCCCAGGCCTGGGAGCCAGCAAGGGGCTGGCAAAGAAGCGTTACCACCAAGACAGACATGAGCTCAGATCTCTAGAGAGGGCCCTGATAGTTTGGTAGGTGTGAAATCTGCCCTGGGTCATACAGATGACTTCAGCTTCCAGGACTGCCAGCATGGCACCTTCCCCAGCAGGAAGGGCCAGAGCTGAAGCCCCGGGCTGTCCTGCTGGTTGCAAGGGGCTTTCACTCAACCCTGGTTTCCCAGGTGCTCCTCTCTGTGCAAGGCTCCCCGGTCTTGTCTCTAGGGTCACCCAGGTCAGGTTTCCCTGCAAATTATGATCTGTGATACCAGCAAAGCCAGGCAAAGAGGTCCGTACTGTGAGGCCTGTTTGACAAGTGGGGAAACTGAGGCATGGGGTGGAGGGAAGATTTCTCCAGGGTCACTCGGCAAGTGGCAGAGCTGGGAACAGCCTCCTGACTCCTGTTCTGCTCATGCATCCCCTACAGTCCCGCGCCCCGAGACCAGTCTGCTGCGGGGTCGG